TGGCCAGAAAGACAGAGAGAGACAGAGAGACAGAAAGCAAGAAATCATTCCCTGGGGAGAGGGCCATGCCACAATTCCTTCTCCTCCATTCTCTTCTCGGTATCTTGGGCATGCACGCACACTCGCCCAGCGTGAGTTTAAGCCACCGGGTCTAGGACTCGAACTGCGGTCGACTACATGGGAGTTCAGTGACATAGCCATTACACTAACTGCTGGTCTCAAAAATAGTTTTATTTTTTCCACTTAGGAAAGTTAGCTTCTTTTGGAAGAAAAATGGTAAGTATATGGTAAGTATATGTGTATCTGTGTGTGTGTGTGTGTATACATACACACACACACACACACACATACACACACGCACACATATATTTTTTAGAGAGACTTTTGCTATAGGGTGCATGTGCTCATCAGAGAGACAGAGATAGTGAGAAATCACCCCCTCAGGGGAGATGGCCATGGTGCAATTCCTTCTTCTCCATTTCTCCTCTCAGGATTTTGGGCACACATACACATACAGACATGCCCAGTGTAAGTTTTAAGCTGTCCAGTCTGGGACTTGAACCGTGGTCAACTATATGGGAGTCCAATAATGTAACCATTACACTATCTGCAGGTTCTAAAAAATGGTATTTTATGCTTAAGGAAATTAAGTATTGTCTATTGGCTTCAAATTCTTAAGTCTTTTGATATATCCCTTGGATTAGAATTTTTTATGATTTGAAATGAAAGCAATGGTGTGCTTTGAAGTGCTTGAGAATATGAGTTTTTTAAAATTATTTTTGTTAGAAAGTGTGCGCACTCCCTAGAAGGCGAGAGAGAAAGCACTCCACAATGGGGTGTACACTGTAGCATGCCACAATCCTTTTTACAATATTTATTCTACCCATCAAGATCTTGGGCATACATGCACACATGCGTGGCATGTTTCTCAAGCTGCTGGAACCAGGATTTGAACTGTGGTTGGCCGCCTGAGCCCCAGTAATATGGTATTTAGTTTATGAGATGTTTTAAGAGTGAGTTACATAATCAAATGACAGCAAGTTTAAAAAAAATCATTCAATCTCTCTAGTTTGACACCTACGTTATTTGAGTGTTATATATGTACTTTTTATTTCTAACAATTGCTGTTGCTTTTTAATGTTACTCGTGTTTTCCCTTTTATTATGTATTTTGTACAATTATTTTAACTTCTCAGGAAAACATTGCAAATGCTGAAGAATATATAGCATGACTAGGTACCTGAGAACATTATAATTGTTTAGCTTCTTGCATTCTAGAAGGTGACTGGTTTGTGTGATGTGGTTTTAATTTCATAGATGGTATGGTGACTAAATGTAGCTGTAGAAGCAGTCTGGGTTTGAATGGACACTTCTAGTTGCGTGCTTTTCGGCAAGTTTCTTGAATTTCCTGTCTCTCATTTCTTCTGTAAAGCGAGGATAATAATAGCACCTATCAGAATTGTGAAGACCAAATACATTAATAGTTGTAGAGCTCCTAGAACTATGCCTGGTACATTGTAAATCCTATGTAAGTCTTCAGTGTTATTATTGTTTATTGGATAGCATTTTATTGCTTTGGTTTTTAGAAATATTAGCATGTGCAAGTAGTTACTACATTTCCTTTTTAAAAAATTGTTTTGAGAGAGAGGGCAGGGGGGAGAGAGACAGACATAGGCACCTTTAACAGGGTCTCATGCTGTGACTCCTCTCCCTCCCTAGTTTTCCCCAGCCAGCCAGGATCTGGGGCACTCATCACTTAGTGTGTTTAAGTTGACCTGAGAACTGAACCCCCAGTCTTCCACATGGCTTCCAGCATTGCAGAGTATTGTGTTAACCTAAGTCACGGTAACTGGGCCAATTACTGTGTTTGAAACACAATATATTACAAGCACTTAGCTCAAAATGTTACAAGCACTGCCTTAGCTAGACTACCTAAGAAGATTGTTTTGGGAATTAGGAAAAGATGCATGTGGGGGCAGGTAGCTGGGCAAATTGCTAAATTAGTGGAATGATACAGTCCTCTCTTGGGACTGTTCCCTTCTGGCTGCCATTTTGCTTTGACAGTTGTTGTCTCTTTTGGCCAGCTCAGGGTTTTTGCTTTGTTTCCTTAGCCTGCCTCACATAACTCCCAAAAACTGTAACTGGGCATTATATATATATATATATATTTTTTTTTTTTTGAGAGCTTTTCGCTATAGGGTGTGTGTGCTCGCCAGAAAACAGAGAGAGAGACAGAGAAACAGAAAGCAAGAAATCACCTCCCAGGGAGGATGGCCACACTGCAATCCCTTCTTCTCCATTCTCCTCTTGGGATCTTGGGCACGCACGCACATGCGCCCGGCATGAGTTTAAGCCGCCGGGTCCGGGATTTGAACCACGGTCAGCTACATGGGAGTCCAGCGACATAGCCATTATGCTAACTGCTGGTTCCGGCATTCTATATTTTTTATTCTCTCTGGTTTTGGATTAACAGCTTTTACTGAGTTGCTAATTTAAATGAAATACAATGACTTAAATTTTTATATAATATAGCATTGTATGATACAGCATTAATTTTTTTTTTGCCAGAGGGCATATGTGCGAGAGAGAGAGAGAGAGAGAGAGAGAGAAAGAGAAAGTGAAAAAGCATCCCTCCCATGGGGGATGGTCATGCCACAATTCCCTCTCCTCCATTTCACCTTCCTTTCAGGATTTTGGGCATGCATGCACACTTACTCGGTGTGTTTTCCAAGCTGCTTGATTGGGACTCGAACTGTGCAGCTTGCCACGTGGGATCTTGTTGCCTTAACCATGAAGCTATGGGGTAAACTTACTTATAACATTGAAAAAAAAAATAGTCTTAGGACACATGTACTTGCCAAAGAGAGACAGAGAAAGAAAGAGGAAGCGAGAGAGCATCCCCCTGGGGGGATGGCCACACCACAGTCCCTACTCGATTCTTCTCTTGGGATTTTGGGCATGCCCTGTTGTGTTTTTCAAGCTACCAGGTCTGGGACTCAAAACTCTAGTTGGCTGTGTGGAATCCCACTGCCTTAACCACCACACCACTGACTGGCCCAGCATTTTTAATGCCATATTTAGTTTGATATTCAGTATAAATCTGAGATGGCAAAGGAGTCCTCATTGAATATCTCTGATTATTCTGAAAGATTAAATGCTTAGTGTCACAAAGCAATTAATGATCTAGCTTGAACTTGAACTCAAGCCACTTGGCTTCAGGGCCAATGTTTTATAATATTGTAGGTTTTTTTTTTTTTTTTGACATTAGCATCAAGGTTTTATACAGTGCTTTGTTACTTCTTTCCTAATTATTGAATAATTTAAAAAAGTATTTCTAAATGTTACATAAAGATGGCATGTCCCCACCTTTGGCTAGTAAAATTTACCTGGTTCTTTTTTCTCATGTGAGTTATATTTTGTAGTCTTTTGTTCCTATCATCAGAAGAGAATGAAATAAAGTCTGAGAGCTATATATTTTACCATATTAAATACTCAAGTTTTTACATGAATGCTTTCTGAAAAATCATATTTCTTTCTTATTTTTCTTTTATAATATTGCAATAAGATAGATTTTTCCCCATACTGCCTAGCATATGTAGTGCCTTGCTCATTTCAACATTATTGTCAGAATCAAATGAAATCTTGCCACGAGAATAGCCATACAATGCTACTTTTCTATTTTTCTCTATGCTTTTATCCTCTTTTAGATCTGCCCCACCCTACCCCTGAGGTTTTTGCTATAGTGCGCGTGCAGTTGCCAGAGAGACAGAAAGCAAGAAATTACCACCTCTCCCCCCCC